TGAGTGCTATGGAGGGATTGTGCTCCTGTTTGATCCGTAACATTTGCATCACTATTTATTGAACATTTCTACCCTGACCCTCCTCTCTTTCACCTTAGGTACAAGAATCATCTACGACCGGAAGTTCCTGCTGGAGTGCCGCACTTCCCCGCTGGCCAGGGCTCCCCCGTACTCTCTCCCTGACATTCCAGGGGTCACCAGCCCACCCTCTAAACACATCAGCAATGTAAAGGCCCATAACGGAGAACCACTGAACAACAACAATATCGCTGCACCTGCTGACAACAGCGCTGGTAAGAACATGATCCAGTCAGGCAGGCCAACTATTTACTCGTATCTCAGATATTACTGTGCCAACAAAAAAAAAACATTCCCGAAAACAGTCATAGGAAATAAATTCGTTTTATGGAAGATATGTTATTTAATGAGATAAAATGTTCAGATTTACTGGAACCTCGATGGAGTTTGGGTAATTTTCAGGTTTCAATATTTGCCCCTTATGTAAGTATTGCCTGTCAGACTCTTCAAATAGGCCATTATATAGGGTGAGTAGGAAATAAATAAATTAACACATGTTATGTTTGTGAAGGGGATGATGCACAGTTTGAAATGGACATCTAACTGGTGGTGGAATGAGCATTCGAGAGGAATGTGAAGCAACTTCACTTACTACCATGATGCTAAAGAAGAGGGTCAAGGGGACGCCCAGCCAATCCCCTATCCAGACTCGCTACAATATTGTCACCCTCTGTGTTTACAGATGTGTCCATTAGTTGCTGTGTGTTAATCAAAGGTAGTTCAGGAGTGTGAATGAATGTTACTCTCTTGAATCACCTCTGGTGCCTTTCTCTTGTGGACCCAGCAGCAACACTGAAAAAGACTGCCCCAGAGGAGTGGTGTGGAGGTAAAGATTCAATACAATTGTTTTCATTCTTTAAAATTATTTTGTCACTCAAATCACCCTAATCATGGGCTACTCACCCTTCACCTCTTCAAATACTGCCTTCAAAATACTTTTAATTTTTACAGATAGTGTCATACAAAGGAATGTAAAACATGTTTTTGTCGCCTTTGTTTAAATTTTGAGACAGAAAAATAATACATTTCCACATGGTATGTAAGAAGAAGAAATAAAGCAAAGAAAACATATCTTTGGTAGTAGACTTGTTTCCTAAAAAGTAACCAGTGTGAATAGAATGTGTATTCCAGAATCAGAGGATAGCTTCTGTCAAACCCTCGGGCACTCTCGGTAATCTGGCAAGTGTCATTAGTCTCATGGTAAATGGGTTGACTGACTGCAATACATGTTCCCCTCAGGGAAACGCCATTGTATCTGACAGAAAAAAACAAATGACCCACAAATGGTTATTCCACTGGTAATATAATGTAACAGTAAAAGAAAGACGATATCGATTCGCTATCTATTTAGAAAAGCGAAGTCATCATAAAACACAGACCTACTTTTCTTGAGTTCACATAGGGCTTGGGTGACTTAGTTACTATGAGTTCAAAATTACAATTCCAGCTTTTCCTGAAACATTTAATTTTAAATGTACATGAAGCCATTTGCTAATTTTACCTCTAGTCGATGTTATCTTTTGCTTTAACTCAAAACGCACTACAATGGTTGAACTTGATGTCGCTGTTCACATCCATCAGAGGCTATCGGCACCGCGGCTACACTTCCACTGGCACGCTCCCGTTCTTCTATGAAGCAAAGCGGGAAATGTCCTGCGTTTGTAGTGTGGCAGGAGTTACATCTGTGGAATTCAGGAAGTTCCCTCCTGCAACTGATAACATTCCAGAACCAACAGCCTGGAAAGCGGTAATCAATACACACCAAAACGTCCTTCCTCTCATCCAAAAGCGACATGCACGTTATAAGCAGTAGGCCTATATGGCTGCGTTTAGAGGGGCAGCGCAGTTCTGATCTTTTTTTCACTGATTGGTCTTTTGAAAAAGGTCTAATGTAAAAATATCTGATGTGATTGATCAAAAGACCAATTTAGTGGAAAAAATATCTGAATTGGGCTACCTGTCTAAACGCAGCCTATGATGCATATTGGCTGCAAATGGAAGAACTTGAACAACAAGACCTATGATTTTTAAAAAAGTAGGTTCCAGTCTTTTTTTAAACATCCATTAAATGCTTTAGAGGTGGTACTTTCATGACTTTGTTATTTAGAGTATTCAATTAAATGGGTGCTTACATCTTCAGATAAATCCCAATGTAAATTGGGACATTTAGCCTTTAAGCGACTGTGATATTACCTGGCTGTGAGATGCTGTCAAACTAGTTATCTAGCAGTAAATCGGGTATTGGGTCCAGTCAGAACAAAACAAGAATGACACACCAGAGGGCCATGCAGACATTTCCCAAATTGTAAAGTCTAGCACTTCATTCTGCCTAGCCACTGTAGGGGTGTCAACCAGATGCCCTGCCAAGCAGGAACCAAGGTCTGTTCCTCTGTCAGAATTCAATAATGCACAACATCCTATGCACTGTCACTCAATCTTTTTTTTTCTGTGGAAATCTGCACCAATAAAAGTAAGGGTGCTATCCATAGGCCATTGTGAAACAACATTTAGGATACATAAACATTTAATTAATGGACATAAATTGGCTGAAATCCCAGTGTAGAATCAATATTAGCCCACCAGACTATCTGAGCAATGGGCTGACCATGAGGGTTCTGTGGGTGTGGTGGAGAACAGAAGGGGGTTGTTCATGAGGGTTTAGTGAGTGTGATAATTGACACGTGCTAGAGAAGCTGTGACACCTGGATCCTTGTCACTATCCTGAAGCTGCAGCACTAACGGGAAACCCACTGGGCCAGTTCCCCATGCCCTGCCCTGGTGTCTGAACAAACACTCAAGGGTCCAACCCCAGGTCCCATAATGACCACTGCCATAGTAGGACCCAATGACCATGACAGACTTTTGTCACCCAACAGATCAGCCTGTTTAAATGGCTTTACTATTAATCAGCATGTATTGTCACGGAGGCAACAGTAATTATTCATCTGTGCTGGACACTGAGCTTTAGTTAGTTGTTAGTTAATACTGCTTTGATGATAGCCTTGAATTCAGATTTGACCTCTTGACTGTCTGTGATCACTGTTTTTAGGCTGTACTTGCATAAATTACATTAACAGCTTAGTTTTGGAACTCAACCAGCCTCTTAATTGGTGCACAGGTTTAAAAAAATGTGTGAGGGCAGTGTCCTTCCTTTTGCTAAGAGAGAGACTTAGGATAGGTGAAATTTCAGGACAGGGGAGTGTGAAGGTGTGGAAGAACACTTTGCACTTTATCCCTCCTGGCCGTGCACACAGTAGCTTCACTAACGCCACTCTGTTCTTGTTAGGGGGTCTATATGCCCCATTCCTGTCACTCTTGCTTCCTGGCACCCCCAAAATAAACAACCGATTTTTCTTTCCACCATTCACCACCCCTGTCTTGACCCATTCAAATCAAATCAAATGTCATTTGTCACATACACGTGTTTAGCAGATGTTATAGCGGGTGTAGCGAAATGCTTGTGCTTCCTAGCCATTGCGCTGTTCATTTCCTCCCTATACCAGTTGCTTTGAACACAATCAACTAGGAAATTACTCGGCTTTGTGGCGAGGGGCAGTGATGACTCCCTATAATCTGTGCAGTAATACTATAAAAATATATGTGGATTTGAGGTGAGGATGGTAAAGCTGTTCACAAGTAACTGGTCCGAAAACTACCACCAGACTTCCGTTCGTTCATATGGGTTACCTTCAGATGAGTCCTGTGATACTTGTGGGGGTCATAGAGCAAAATGGAGAACACCATCTTGTTCGTGAGAGGCTCTGCTATTGTTCATAATAGTTTGTAGGCAAAACCGTTGAAGTTTTCGTTACATGACCGATTTATGGGACGTCTCAAGGTCTGACAAACACCCCTGTAGCTCGGTCACCTTCCACCGCAGGTGCAGAAGACCGACATAGGCGGATTGATTTGAGATGCAGCCCATGCAAAAAAAACGGTAATCTCTATCTTAAACTGACGGATTTTGATTGGGATTTTTTTTTAAATGTTAATTAGTGACGCACGGTTGAATCAATAGACATATTAATCATGCTCTATTATGCCTCTTGGCACAACAAGCTGCTTAAAGCTGCAATATATCACATTTTGTGCAACCCGACCAAATTCAAATAGAAACGTGAGTTATCGATCTGTCTTTCGCATTGAAAGCGAGGATAAGAAGCAGTAGATCCATTCTATGTGCGCTATTTCTATGCCTCCTGTTTTTAAGTTTCCTTTTTATGTCTTTTACGTTCGGTTTTGTACACCGGCTTCAAAAATCTGAAAATACAATATTTTTGGTTATAGAAAATTATATTTCAGTGGTTTAGATGGTACAATGATTCTCTACACTCCCGAGTGCTTCTTTTGTCACAAACTGAAATTAGGCGAACTATTAGAATTTTTGCAACCAGAAAATGGCAGAGTGATTTCTGCATATTGCACCTTTTAACACTAATATAGAAACATACTTTTTTCTTCAAACATGCGTACAACTTGTAAAATAATCAGTCAAAACATTTTGAATTACACACAATCCTCTAAAAACGGAGCCAAGTGGCAAGTTTTTGCAAGAACTTACAAATATTAATTGGCGATAAATATGATTACAATTTAGTAAATTAAATCACTTAATACCCTTTGGCAACATGAAATTAACAAATCATTGAAAGGCCTTGCATTCATTTTTTATTAAGTATAATTGGTTGTATTTTTTTTTTGAAAATTTCAATTCACACCATAATAATTTTTTCAGCGACAGAACTGGTTTAGTCAAGGCAGTCAAAAATTCTGGCGAATATGATGCTGAAATGTCCTAGATTTCTCTCACTTAAGTGGATTAAATCAATAGATTTCACACTTCGATGAACAGAATAAAATGCTTTAATATATAGTTTTTCAATGTACAAAAATATATTGTAATAAATGAGTGACTTAGTCATCATTATAACAAATAAGGTACCTTTTTGGCAGCATATTCCTTCATAAACTTCTTGAAAATACCAAAACACTCATGACAACACTGCCGATATCAATGCATATAGCCAAAGTAGCACCCAAAAAATGAAGTCTTCCTTCTTGAAATATTCAAATAAATAACAGCACCTTTATCATAAAGTAAATACATTGGTTCAATCTAAGGACACATCTAATATGCAATGCTGTTGTTTCAGGTGAGAACACCTGAGATGACATAGACCTACTGTATAAATGATAGTAAGTACTGTATTTGTGACAGACCACAAACAGCCTGAAGTATAAATTGAATCAGATGGACACCTTCAATAAGAGTAATTTCATGGCGCACAACATGCCATTCCAAGTGAAGCCTTTTAAATAAGTGGTATTTTTGGTTGCAGGGTGAGGTGACATGGCTGGGTTATCAGTGACAGCCACACTCCTCCACGATCATGTCCTCATGATGCCGCAACACCACGTCTTCATCACCATAGTACAGCATGGACAGCGGGCTGAGGCGCGTAGGCACGCAGGAGGGACACCCCACACGATCCGGATGGTACAGTCTCAACAGACTCTGAAAAAGAAAATAAGCATATTTTACGAAAAGCTGCACTGAACATATGCATTGGAACTTAAACCAAATGTAAAAGTTTAGGTATGTTTTTGTTTTCATATCTTACCTGCATGTATGCGTGGTTGGTGGGACTGAAGGATTCATCCACCGGAGTAGGGCACTCGCCCTCGCAACGGAACGCGTTGTAGCGCTTTGGATACACAATCCACTCGTTCCAGCCGATCTGGTCGAAATCTACCCACATGTCGACCTTCCGACATAGTGGGCGTTGGACGGCTTCAGCTAGTGACCCAGTAGCATTCGCTGCAATTCCGCCGGCCATCCGCACTCTCTCCATTCGGTTTCTCTTGTGGCGTCGCCCTTGAGCTTCACCGCTGACTTGGTCCAAAATTGCGTATTTGGAGTGCTCCACAGTATGGATGAGAGTGGGTGCGCTCTCGCCATCCCGAGGCAGGTTGTGCTTGGAGAAGACAACCATCATAACCCGTTCGGCTGTCGGATGGTGAACCTTCCTTAGCCGGTGCGTAAAATGCTTGATGTAGGGCATGTCGATCTCGTCTCCATCTACCCCACTCCCGTGATCTTCCTCCATCACATCTCCAACTCTTGCTTCTTGACTCTCCGTCACTGCGTCTCCCTGGTGCAGCCAATATTTGAGCAGAGCTGTCACATTGAAAACCTTCAATGGAGACCTGGTGTCTCTGGGCGATGCGCCAAAGCTGCCCAAGAGAAGGCGCTCCTCGCGGCACAGTTCAGTGTCAGACTCGCAGTCCTGCTTTCGCGAGTGATAAATGTCCAATGTGACGCGCTTGGAGGCGGAGAAAGCTGGTAGTCTGACCCGAAGCTCTGACAGCTGGACATCGTCACTCGCAGAGATGGAGGACATGTCGAAAGTGACGGTCCATTTCTCACCCACTTGATGGCAACCTGGAAGAAACGAACAAAAGTCAGCAAACCAACTGAATACAGCCAGTGTGCCATCAACAAAACGTACGCACACGTAACCACAAACTAGCCAAACCACTAGGCCTAGCCTACTAGACAAATGTCAAAGCTTTGGAGAGGGTGAGAGCAGGATGTGTATTGAACCCCCCTTTGTACAGAGTCTGGGGGGCTAATACACACACCAGCTCACATAAAACAGAAAAAGCCTTTAAAGTCGAATAAGCATTGTGACACTTCTGGGTTGTAAAGAGGGAAGATCTGATAAACGCAGATAAGACACCCTGCAACCAAAGTGGCTGGCAGTGATGGAGAGGACATGTCTGAAGAGATCTGTAACCTGGCTCGGACGCTTGCTTGAACTACAGGTCAAAATATATTATCATCAACTACAATACACACGTCAAACTAAGTATTATTGGTCCAAAAAGTAACAAGTTAAAGACGTGTAAAACTGAAAGGCCAGTTCAATAATGTCGTAAAATAATGTTTGAAAAGCAAATTCAAAATGCCATACAAATTAAACAATAAGAATAACCCGAAAGTGTTGCCAATAGAGTTTTCATACAAGTTTTAATATGGCTAATACAAACTGAAACCAATACCCACCTTTTGCTATCAGACTGATGACGGAGTCAGAATTGCGCAGTAAGGGGCTGTCATCCGCTGCACTGACGGGGTTGACAGCCGTGGATCGTGAGGAGTCTGCAGTCTTGAAGGAGCGGTACAGCTGCATCATGTAGAGAGGGTACCTGTTGGGATGGTACGAATTCAGATTTCCTAAACTGGACTCGGGTGCGCTCTTGTGATGCCGGGAAGGGTGCGACAGTTTCTCCAAATTGCCAAGCCTGAAAAAGCAGATGAGGAGCGCGCAAAGGACAAGCCATGCCAAGCCTTCCATTTTTGACTGAAACGGTGTATCCACTATAGCGTTAAGTCACGTTGAAAAGTAAAGAGAAGAGGGAGATGGCAACAACTAGCCACCCTCTTTCTAGCTTGTCTTGGTTTGAAATGATGCTGTGAGCAGACAGAAGTCCAGACAGGGCATTTATAGTGGACAGCTGCCCTTTGATGACCCCAGCCATCTCAACAACCCTCTGATCGATCCCCAGTGCACATCAGAGGGACGACAACAAGACAGCATTTAGCCAAGGTCATTGTCTTTAGAAACTGTCCAGACATTTCTCATTAGGTCGTAGGACTATAATCCTAGTTTATGTATGATCCCAGCTGTTAGAACCCCTTTGATTTCACACTTTAAAAAACAGCTATATTAGTTAAACACATTTCATTATGCCAGACAAGCCACGTGAATTTTGAGATCAGATTTAAGATTCCACTAATAGACACACATCGTTTTTATTAACCAATTATGTATACCATTGCTTGTTTCTAAATATTCATTACTATTGAATAGTTCACTAAAGTTTCCAGCATCATCCTGGCCGCCTTTGTCTTTTTCTAAACATTAAACAAAAGCTAATTAAAAATGTTCATGAAAAACTCAAATGACCAAAGATTCTTGACTGTAGTAAAACAATTTATCGGTTTTCTGCCTATCACTATTATGAAATCGAAACCCATTGAAGTACTTACATTCGGTAGTAAAAGCAATGCAATTGATGCTTTCCAAAGTGTCGGATCCATTGATCGTGGCACAATATTAACTGATTGTAATTGAATACATTTACATGAAAAACGTATATATCCTTTGAAATTGGTGAAGGCCTACATTAGTTTTAGATGTTTTAATTATTCACTCCAAGATTAGTTCTCGAAACCGATGTCCACGTTTCTACAGCAATATTGTGTATGTTGGTGTTGAATTGGTCGACTGAATCTGAAACAATTTATACTGCATTAAAATAAAGACATTGGTATATAAAGCTTATACTCGATATGAACTTAAATCTAAGAAATATGTAGGCCTATACGAAATAGACTGATCCAACGAACTTTTACATCAGATTTGGCTGCAAAATGCATCCACATAATTTCTTTGTGTATAAAATATTTCTTGATGCAGTATTCTGCATTACATCCAACTTGTAAACTCAGCACTCAAATGTCAAAACAAAGCAGCTAAAATAGGATGTAACTCTGACACACAGTAAATACAGGAATAAGTAAATAAGACATAACTAAATACCCAAAGTAACATTGAAGTTTAAGCAAAATAGAAGGGAAACAAAATCTGTAACAGACTACTAGACCAGACAATTTTGCATCAGAATGTGACCTACTTTTTTACTGTTCCCAGGTAACAATCCAAAATCTGCTTCTTTATTTGTGTGAATATGGTCCAATATAGATCAAATTCTATATTCACAAACAAAGTACATGGTTAAAAGCATCTGGTACCCATATGCTATTACTGAAATCTGTAATTAGCTAACTGAAACCCCACAATTTGAAGTTTGTCATACCCCAAAATAAGTGAAGATACAGTGAAAGGATGTGGGGGATAAATCAGACCGAGAACGGTTGCAAGTTTACATTTGTAAATGCCATATACATTTTACATTTACACTGACTGAGGTCCAAATGGTTGCAGATATCTTGATCCCATGGAGTTGATAGCCGCATAACTGACTGTTCCTCATAGTCCACTGAAGAAGTCCTTCACCTAAGTAGAGGGAAATAAGAGACCAACAAGAACCCAATATATCAGACATAACCTCATACAAATCAGATAAATACTTCACTTATCAAAACATCAAACACACAAGACATCAGAAATATTAAAATGTGAAGATAACATAAAATGTTAATGACATTAGCACCTTACTAATATTGAAGACATAAAATAAAACAAAAAAGGGATAAATTCAGGTCTTTGAAGTCAAGTTAAAAAAATTCCAACAGCAAGACTAGCAAGACTGTCATAAGAGTGCCCCCGTGTGGTCAAACTGGGTTTTGTCTAGAAGGGATACAGCTTCTATCAACATTGACTTTTCGTAGCAGGTTTAAGAGAACTTCTGCAGCAGGTAAGTATAATTAACATAGCAGGTTAGGAGACTTAGGTTAAGGTTAGGAAGTGGGTTAGCGAAGATGCACCAAAAATATATTTTGACATCAAATTTGACAAAAGCTGTATCCCATCTAGACATGACTGTCAAACTGTGGTACAACCTTCAGACACTGAGAGGTAGGTATTTGCATGTATGTGTGTGTGGTTGTGCATGAATGTAGAAAAAAAGATGAGTCACATACCTGTGTGATAAGTTTGGCCCGCACCTCAGGGTCCTCCTCAAACTCTAGACTGGCATCCAGCACCAATACAGGCACCTGGGTCAACTGTTCAAAGTGCAGCCTAGGGAGAGAGAAAGTCACTGCATAAAACATTGACCATTACAACACCCAAGAACCTTTAGAATTACACTTACCACTGCCGCAAATTCAACATGTATAAGATAACAATCAAGGGAAAGTCTCACATAATAAAAACTATCTGAGTGAGGAACAACAGGATGTGTTCGTTTGTCTAAACATGTTGTGTGCTCACTTAGTGCTCTTGTCTATGAGCCAGCTCTCATGCTGGGTGTGTAGTTTCTCCAGGTAGTCTAGCTGCACTCCTTTCTCCTCCTCTCGCCCCCGTCGTTCCAGACGCTCCATACACTTCTGACAGGGACACAAACACAATCCAAACCTTACTAAATCTACTACAAACATCAACTGTAACCTCCCAAAACCTTTGGCGGCGTTGTACTCAACATCTGTACGGATACTCATATATAATTATATTTAGGAAATGCTGTATGGCTTGTGAGTCACCCTTGATAAAAGCAACTTATACTAGAGTGAATGTAAGGCTGTACCTGTGGAGGGGCTCTGAGGTAAATGATGCCCTCCAGCTCCACCTGACGGCCAAACTGTTCCACCAGGAAGGAATGCCAGTCCTGGTAGACAGCCCACTCTGTAGAGTTGATGCAGCCCAGCTCAAACATGTTCAGGGCAAATATATACCTGAAGAAATTAAATGTGCATGTGTATGGGGAGGCAATGGAGACAGGCAGCATGGGTACAGCTGCACAAACAATACCGTATCAAGAAGCAGCATCAACATAGTATTGCCCTCTCCCCATCCTCTTACCTGTCACTGTACACAGAGCGCTCAAAGACCTGCACAGGGACGCCCTCTGCTCTGAGCAGGCGTGCTGGTGGTGGCTGCAGCTGGGTGCGCATGCGGCTCATGCAGGAGTTGGTCTGAAAGGTGTAGGACCAGCGCTGAGGGTCCTGGTACATCATATCCAACAGGTTACCGACCGTCTGCTGATGAGATGGGCCAGAACCAAGTGACCAAGCAATTAGATAATACATACAATAAACAACGATTTCCCCCAGCCCGTCTCTCTTATTGATTGTCCATTCATGACCCACATTCATAAGCTGTCAACATTGGTGATGAACTTACTTGTGAAGACCCACTCTCGATGCTCTGCCATTTCCCCACGGGCTCGGGAACCACTTCCCAGTCTTGGCCAGCAAACTGCAGGAGTCGCGCGAAAGTCGACTTTCCTACCGCTGAACATGGCATAGAACAAGAATAGCATCACCAAACCAGGCAAGTCAATGCTCTTCTTCTTCTTTACCGGCGGTTGGCATCCAACGTTAATGGTGCATTACCGCCACCAGCTGGACGGGGTATTGAATAAGAAACTACAAAAACATTGCGCGAAAGGGGGAAAACGACATCATACAAAATAAAACACGTCAACTAAGAAAACCCATCCCACTTCTTCAATCACGGTCCACTCCAAAATACATCTCTACACAGGCTCAGGGGCTGTGATGGCGGTACATTCACCGACAGTAAATCTTGCTCGGCATCGGCTGTGAATCACGAAGACCCAAAAAACGTTCAGCGGTATTCACAATGATTCCAATTTTCTTAGGCTTCTTCTCCGCTTGTGCTGTACAGCTTATGACCATTTCAATAAATAATACAAAGTCCACCTTTTTAACATGTAGCATTTCACTATCCCTCAGTTGATGAGAACCCTTCACTGGTCGTGGTGGTACCATTGTTTCTTCTCAGCCACTCGTTCTTCTCCCCGCCTCTAGATAGGAGACACACTGGACACTCCTTACCACCTCATTCTCCTTCACCCCAACAGGGCACTCCAGGAACTCAGGCGCATGTTCACCTCCACAATTTCATTTCATCTAGCATACGATACTCTTCCCTTCTGCACTTTTACATGTATGACACTGAAGGGGCTTGTGCACAAAATCTATTACAGGGTATCTCATGAATCCTAACTTTATATGAGAAGGGAGAGACTCTTCATCAAAGAACAGTAGCATGGATTAAGTTAATTTATTTTCTCCATCCACAATACAGGTCAGTCGACGTGCACCAACCACTCCATCGATGTCTTCAGTAATATCCTCTGCCTTTATTTCTTGCGCCACCCCAGAAATAAACCCCTTGATAGGCGAACCCGGTTACGAAAATCCATACAGGAAACATTCCACTCAGATATCTTTTTGAGTCTTAAAACACGCTTCTGCTCAGCAGACACACAAAAAAATCAAAATAAGACCACTTCTTGTGACTCACCGACTCCACACTTTCCTCCAACACATTCAAGATTTTCCTCGAGAAGTTAAACGGATTTCCCAAGTAACATTGATCCAAAACCCTGACTCCGACTAAAAACCAGTCTAGTGGTTTCCTATTTTCCACCACAGCTTTACTTGTCGTTTCTTTTTTCTTCGCCACTGTAACCCACTCATTCTCACTTTCTCTACTATTAGCTTCATTCGACTCACTAACAGTTTCAAACAAAACCTCAGTTTCTGCCAAGTCAATACTCTACTCTTGTCACCTCTATTTAGTTTACTTCAACTGTCTGAAAATCATGCTCACACTTACCAATGTTGCCTTCAATAGAGACCCTCTTAACTCGGTTAATGTCGTCCATTGGCCCGGTGCTAGAATGACAGTGTGCTGAGCTCGAGAGGCAGCGTTTGGTCGCCCTTCTCGCCATTGTTGCGTAGAGAAGCACTGGATTTTCGTCTTGGCGTGTTCTCAAAACATGCCGCTTCACCTTCTGAACAGATCCGATATATCGCGACGTGAGGTTTTTACAGTGAGAAACCAGATTCAACACCATGGACCGGTGGAACGAATACATGATGACATTAGTGACCAGATGGCTAACTAGTTAGCTATCGCTAGGTCAAACAAACTGTTTGGGGCAACAGTATTACTGTCAGTGTGAGTAGCTACGGTCAGTAGCTAGCTAGTAGCTGTCACAAGAAATCAATGCCAAGTTCGGCCATTAAATAGCATACACAAGAGGAATGATTTGAACAACAGAACCTTGTTAGCGTTACATGAAAATATAGTTTACAGTACAGTCATACAAGTTTAATTAATGCTCTCCTAAGGCTTCTCAGAGGTATCATAATCTGTCACATGCTTGCCAAAGGCGGATGTTTTGGACAGCAGCCCTGCATTTCCGGTTGTCGTTAAAAAAATCTTAGCTGGTGCGATAGCTCCTGCCACCTGCTGTTGATCCTGGGTGTGAAATGAAGGGGTGATATGTGATTTGAGTTTGATTTAATCCTCACCTCCACTTTATCATAATTATTTACTAATACCAAGGACTGTGGAGGATAGGCTCAGCCTATTTCTTTTTGGTAACACTGGCCACCCCAACCCTTAATACAATACAGCTAAAATGTCTGGATATTTTGTGATCATATTTCTGTAACAACTGGCAAAATAAAGCAGACAATATAGCCAAAGGTTTATCTTGTTTATTCAAATGCAAAACGTTCCAACCACACATTTAAAATACATTCAACAGATTCTGAAATTATACATATTAAAAAATTAGGTATAACAAGGCAATTATATTCTCTATAAAATGTGAATTCGCAGAATGTGTGTAGTAAAATAATCCATAGAGTCGATTGTCTCTGCTCAAATTAACAGTTCATTTTCACACACCAGGGTACTGAATCAAGTCCATAAAAGTTGTGTTGCAAACCTTTGAGGATCCTAAGATCTCACAGATGTTTTACTCCTAAAATGTCATACAGTACATGACAGTATAAAGCACATTGTTGAGCTTGATTGCTTTCCCATCAGATAATTTGACATGACACCTTTGTCAATCACTGTCCTTCACACATTTTAATTCTCAGTAGCTGGTGTTTTTGATGGTGATCTGTTGAGCCATCTCAATCTTGAAGTCTTTGATACCTAATAGAGAAACCAATCATTGTTTGATTTTTAGTAGCAGTAGTGAGGAAATCAATGTTTGGATCAAAGCAGTTAAGACATGAATTGTATTGTTGAGTAATAACTAGTAACGACATAAGAAAGTTGTGTTGACTATGCCACATAACCCTTTGTGTTCTCACCCTGGCTGAGAGTGTTGCCGTCTGAGGAGAGGTGCCAGTATCTGCGGTCGGTCTGTCTAGCCCGTTCCCCATTCACCACGCTCAGGAAAGGTCCCCACAGGCTGGTCTCCTTCTCAAACCTGCAGTGTAGGCAGAGGACGGAGCAAGGAGGAGAATTCATTATGTTCTACTTATGATAGGACACTTTAAGCTATTCACACCACTGGGAAGTTATATAAAGTTCTTTATGAGACAAATGATCTCACCAAAAAGTATAAATTTGGAACTTGATTAACGTCTCAACCCAAAAAAGCATCCCATTAACTCACGTGAAGTCAACGTTGTTCTTTTGAAGGATTTCAAGGGCATCAACCAATGAGGTGCCCGTTGGCACATCCACAGAATAGACATCAGATGTCCCATGCGATTTGACCACCTCCACCTTCAGGGCTACTTTGGTATGACTCTGTAACACCATCACTGGCTCCCTTGCCTCTAGGACCAGACTGTCTGCAGAGGAAAACCCAACAAAGCAGAGTCAGTCAGAGTGAGGAGGCTCACACCTCAAAAACAGATTGACCACTATTGGGTTAGGTGATAATGCAGCACTTGCCATCCTCATTGCGGCACTCCTTGCCCTTGACTTGCAGGTAGGATTGTTGCTGGAGAGCAGGCAGAGTTTGGGACATGGCCATGGCGTTGACATAGGTTCCCTTCCTCACATCTGACCTCATGGCCTCCATGGAGGTAGCGCACTCCTGCACGTGGCTGCCCATCGCCAGCAGGGCCTGGGACACACCATGTTATTGGCATGCCAAATGCTTGTATTGCTCCAATCACATACGCAAATGCTGCACAGGTTAATATAGGCCTAGAGAGGGGAAGTGGCCCAGTCCTTACCTGCACTGCCAGGCCTGTGCTGAACTCATTGCCCATGTGACCATCAGCCCGCTGGGAGTCCAGTAGCTTCTGCTTGATGACACCCAGGGCCTTGTCCAGAGCCGCATCCTGCACCTGGGTGTCAGACTCCTTCAGGCACTGCAGGGCCATCCCAGCCATGGCAAACGTGTCTAAAAAAGGACAGCGGGGATGAAGCAAGGGTATAGCATCATCTCCATGAAATCACCTATATAGAATCTAATTGGAAGGAGCCAGTGAGTGAATACATTTTTAAACAGCTTAACTATAGGAAAACAGAATCAGAGTAGGGAGATGCTCCTGGATTTCCTAGGTCACACTTACCAATGCAATCGGAGGCTTCATGTTTGATATGTCCATGCTCTACAGCCCTGATGAGCTTGTTGCTGACGTGAGAGTTGACTCTAACTCCACTCACACACAGTGCCAGCACGCCCAGAGAATACTGGTAGTAGTTAGTCAGAGGACGCTGGCTGACTGCAGGAGAGAAAGACAGACAAAAACATAGCAGACAAAATAATTAACAGCGACTGAGAACAAACAAAGAATTACAGACATTTTATAGAACATTAATGAATATGGTAGAGGCAGATGGAGGAATGAGGAGGCTTACAGGCGATGTGCTCTTTCTCCAGTTCCATCTGTCTCTTGAGATGAGTCAGCAGGGTCTCGCTCCTCTGGTTAAAAGTGAAGGTCAGGGTGTTGAGGTCGTAGCAGGAGGCCTTCAGGGCCAGAGTGTACAGGGCCAGGCGACCCACCACTGGCTGGCTGTTGGCCAGAGAGCTAAAAGGAGAGGATACAGGGTAAGGGGCAGAGACGGAAGGTTTTTGAAGGGTAAAGGTTATTCAATATAAATCTTAGAAGTATGAATTGTAACTGAAAACAAAAAACTGAGTACGAACACACTGCAGGTCATTTTTAAGACATGGAATGCATAAAAGGATGTTTGCACTTATTAAGAAGGGCTTTATAAACATGCTATTTTACCTCTCAATGTCATTGTGTAAATCTGTTTTAAGTGCATTGAGGTGATCACTCTCCTTGCCAAGGTTGTGGTGAGTGGACAGCCGCAGGGCCAGGTGCACACTGGGATTGGGGGATGTTCCTTCGTCCTCCAGAGAACGCAGTAGATTCTTATTGAGTGAGAGGATCAGCTCATCAGGCTCTGATCCTACAGGATCTGGACACACAAAACAGGTTGAAATTGAAGAAACAAGAAAAGCATTTTATATCATGCAGTGTGGAAGAAAAGCACTTCACATTATAGCAAAACCACAAGTTAAATAACTTGCCCAATGATAACTTACAATGTTACTAAAGATATGCTCTGTAAGAGATGTCTAATAAACCCACAGTAAGACTACAAAAGACCTGCTGTGTGCTCACTGAGACCATATAAATAGTGTCCTCAGACTGTCATCGAAGTCAAAGCATTGCACAACCAGTGTGTTTCCTGTGCTGTATCAGCAATCATGCACACACAATGGAGAAGCAAAGACCTCAGCAACTTAATAACTAAAGGAATTTCCACAAGGCAGCCAATGTGTCCTAAGCATGCCTTCTCCAACTGTCACCTTGACGTAATTGACACATGACAAGGACAAAGCACAACCGGCTCATAGAGTATCAATTGCACACTCCTTGCATCCTCTCTCCTTCTCAAAACCCATTGGATGAGAAAGCCAGAGGTCCTGCTCCTCTGACTTCCTCCAATGGGTTTTGAGAAGGAGGCGAGAGGATGCAAGGAGTATGCAATTGAGATTCTCCGATGGTCAGTCTCCCCCTGTCACTGTGACCCCAGTGCCAGTGGGCTTTTGGAGAAGCTGACAATAATATGCTGTTAGACATATGTACTGATAAGAACACCTTAGCGACATGAAATAAATTCTGTGCATCAAATTACAGAACATCAACAGAGCAGAGGTGACAGGACATAAGTGAGATTATTTGCATCACAGTAGATTTGTTCAACAAGAGGGGTTGTGCATTATCTACTCAGACTCATCCAACAATCCATTGCAAAATCATTGACAGTACTGCCAGTGGATGAAGTGGACCACGTACCAACTCTGTACTTTCCCACTGGCTCTTCAAATAACTAGGGTTGAGTAAATACATTTTGTGAGGAAACTCAGACCAAGACAGAGGCATGCACATGTTTACCAATAAGGTGGTATTGTGTTTCAGGGATAAATTATAGTTACCACAGGGTTTGCTTGCAACCAGTGCCAGCAGTCCACTAACAATGTATAGGGTATACATTCTGACCAACCTAGAGAGAAAAAAACATAGCTGGTCTCAATAGATTTTCAAGTTCAGTAGCCAACTATGAAGTGAAAATAACATGTAGTGTCCATCCCTACCCTATTGTTGTTGGCACAGATTACCTATCCTTAACATGACATTTCACACATTATTCATCTTCTTGTAATGATCAAGATATGAGTCACTTACCTTTAGCGCGAACTTGTCGTTATGACACCGTTTGGGAACAGACTTCGGTACAACCTGATTTTATGTTGACGTCGTGATCGAGTCACATGACCTGTGATTTAATAAACGACAAAATATGTTCCTTTGCAACTACAAGTCCCAGAAGCGAGTGCTCACTTATTTTCTAGAACGTCAACGAGTGTTTTTTTGCGTGCCTCGATTCTTCATGAACATTTGCGAATCGTGCTTGGCTCACTGTTGTTAGCGCCTAAGTGCATTCACTCAACACAGAATTGATTCTCAGAAAAGCGGAACATGTGACAGAGAAAATAAGGAGGTAACGTTATATAAACACAGTGTAATTGGTACAAGTATGTTTGCTAGCTAGATACGTTCAAAAGTTCCAACTGCAACAGGTTCAAGTTAAATAAAGGTAGCCCATTATAATCAGCAAAATATACGTTGGCTTGCCTTCCTCTTCTGCAATATTCGTCTCGGCTATCTATGGCTAGCAAACTAGCTAACTGAGCTAACAAGGTCCAACATGACCTGTTGTTGTTGTGAACCCCCCTTTAGACTGCGTTTCTTCCTGTCAAGTAAAGTTTGCTAGATAGCTAACGTTACTAGTTAGCTAGCCAGCTGACTTAGGTAGCTAGTTAGTGTTCGATAGCAAGCTTGCCAACTAGCTAAAGATTCAGGGCCTCATAACTTTATATAATAAAGGCAGCTAGCCATAAAGCTAGCCAAGAGTGACAAGAATTTACAGGATTCTGCGTTAGGACCGAACATTAGCTACAATACAGTAGCTAGTTAACTAGCTAGTATTTGTTATGATGGATTGGTGACCAAAACAGCTATGCCTGCTGTACCAAAAATTCCATCCGTAAAATGGTTCATTTTTATAATCTTATATCTTTGTTTTTTAGATTGGTCTTCGAAAACTCAATTTATCCTCCTCCCTGTGTTGTTTCCATTAGCACATCTACCATCCAGACTTCTGTTCAACACTTCCACCTCACCTAAACCTGAGGCATCATGCATCATCCAAGCCCCATGAGCAGTGAGCTGGGCTTGTTGCCTGCCGTGTACTCATTTCCTGGCCTTATCAACGTCACTGAAATGGGGTTCAATATTGGCCCTGCAAATACCTGTCAAAACCTGCCAGGAGTGTCACCCCCAAACACGTGAGTAGAGGAGTCTAGTGATGAGAGCACTGCACAATACACACAGATGTAACCATGTGCTTTACAGGAGATTTGCCAGAACCAGACTTGCTAGCATGTTACATTACATTTCACTTGCATTTCTTTATCTCTAATTGCTATTCCTTCAGGAGTTGGGAGAGAAGATGCCTGAGAAAGCACAGGAGGAGAGCAGATGACGAGTGAGTTAAGAATGGGGGAAAAAAATAATATGAACATTTAGTGTTTATTCTGAAGCGCATTTTAGTTTCAAAAGACTCATTATTTGCTCCAAAACAATGTTTGTTCTCCAGAGGATGCAGTGCCAAAAAGAGGAGGCTGATGGAAGAGGCAGGATGTGATCCTTTGGATGACCTCAGCCCCAAAGTGTTTCATAACTGGCCACCAGGCAATAGCAGCCCCCCTCTACCTGAATCGTCTAGCCAAGCCCTCCCCCAACCCTATCTGGGGACTCAGGACCTGGGGCTGCCCTTATCCGGATCTTCCTCCACTATGGCCTGTCCAGAAGCAGAAGGCTCCTGCATGGAGGTGGAGGCGGCACAGAGGAGACTGCAGGAGATTGAAGAGAGGTGAGCCATGAGAGACCATATGGGGGCAATGTGAGAGTCCAGACTACTGTCCATATCTCATCATAAAAATGTTCATTATTACTGTATATGATTTGTATCAGCATTACCACCATTTGTTTTGTCTGCACAGTGCATACACACTCTGCATACACACTCAGTCACACAGTGAAGTTATTCTGTTTCTGTCAGGATCACACTGGAGGATGACGATGAGGACCTGGATGTGGAGCCAGCACCCAGACGGCCCATGCTGGTGATGTCTGACAGTCTGCGGGAGGGGCTTCAGCGTGGCATCAGTGACATCCTCCCCCACACTGTGGCCCAGTCTGTGTAAGTACCCCTTTCCTTCTTATACTCCACCTTAGAGGAACGTTTAATTGAAGTACCTACACATCTGTCATTGTAGCCAGTAGTGAATAATCGATATAACTTTGGGAGGTGTCCACTATTTGTTTCTCTCTGTCAGTCCCATCGACTCACCGGTTCCTCTTCTGTTATCATAGGAGCCACTCCTGTATGGAGCTGGTAGTATGGCGCCCCCCAGAGCTTGCGCTGGCCCGGCGGCTGAAGGACTCCCTACAGAGGCAGAGGAAGCAGCAGACTACCAGCAGGCAACCCCCGAGCCCTAGTGTCCCTCCGAGTTCCCTCACCCCCACAAACACCCCAGGGGAGACGTACTCCCCTCTGTATTGCAGCCCAGGGGCAGGGGCCGGGGCCCACGGCTCTGGAGAGGAGGACATGGAGCTGTAGGGCCTGGGAGAACCAGCATCAGTTATGACCAGAGCAGCTACAGCTCTCAGCCTTGGTTCACTTTGTTGGCCCTCAAGAACCCATGGAGAGGCAGAAACGACTGCATAGACAGATCAAAAGCTTCATAGTGATATGCGTTCACATGCTATCAGAGTTATCGGAAGCTCCTAGTTTCCAGTGGAAACTTTACTTGAACGACCCTCCATGTCTGAATTACAAGTGGGAAACCATTTACCTTTTCAACCAATCCATTTTTGACACATACAACCTTATCAATATGGATCTAGCTAGTTTAATCATATTGTCAATGTTAAGCAAGCTTGCTAACTTTATTATTAGCAGTCTTAGCTAGCTTATCAAGCTAGCTAAAATCTTATTGATTTGAAGAATTGTTAAGACCTCAAAAGCACTTGAACACAATCATGTTGGACTTCCCATTTCCCACAAGCACGTGAAGCCACCATATTGAATGTCCGCTTTGGTTCAAGACCAGACTGTTGGGCAGCATGGCACGTGTATGCCACTTCGCCAAAAGAGGGCAAGCAACCCCTTTTTGCATTACAATCAGATAATGCTGGATTTGAGTCTTTACTATGATCCAAGAAAAGATGCAATGGGACAAATTGTAACAAGGACCACAAAGCCACAGTAATTTACAAAAGACACCTTTGAAAGCTGCAATATGTAACTTTTGGGCGACCCGTCAAAATTCACATAGAAATGTGAGTTATAGATATGTCATTCTCATTGAAAGCAAGTCTAAAGGCGTCCTCATGTTTCCCAGCCGAAACAGTTAGGAAGATTTCTTGCATATATTATGATGACATTTTGTGATGTTTTTGTTCGTTTTGGACTTCGGTAAGTTTTTTTTGGGGCACACAACATTTTTTCTTGAGGCAAGCGAAGTCTGTAGCCAAAGTCTACGCCCCTTCGTCAGTGATTGGTCAACAGTAGGGATTCTTTAATAGTCTTTGTTGTGATTCAACAAGAGACGACTCGTTTTCACCAAATATCTTAGTTAGATGTAGATTTGCGCAACTAAGATCTCCTTTGGAAAAACGTAAATTAATGACCGATTTCTTGAGTTATCTTAGATTAATTTTGGCTACGGTGTCTCAAAATGGACAAATGGTACTATTGCCGCTTTTGACTCGTTTTTCAAGCAAAGGTGTTAAGGGAGTATGCGAGCACACTCGTTCAGTTGGGGCTAGGCACCAGCCGAACTGAAGCATGCTGATGCCTTAAGAAGTGGTAGATCTGTTCTATGTGCGCTATTTCTATGCTTCCCGTTCTTAAGATTCGTTTTTGCGTCTTTTACTTTAGGTTTTGCACACCAGCTTCAAACAGCTGAAAATACAATCTTTTTTGTTATGGAAAATATATTTAACAGCGGTTTAGATGGTACAATGATTCTCTATACTATACTTGCTTGTTTTGTCACAAACTGAAATGAGGCAAACTATTAGAATTTTAGCAACCAGGAAATGGCAGAGCGATTTCTGGATAGTGCACCTTTTAATGGAATGTCTCAGTTGAAGCTTTAAGACCAGTGCCAGCACACGTCAGGAGTTTCTGATATTTCTGAATGGTCTAGGACCTTCTGTTGTAATCCTAATGTAACAACTTGGCTAAGCAGACCACATAGCCAACTTGGAGAAGTCTCGGTTTTGTTGTAGTTACATATGATCTGTGCTCAGCCAATGCTTTGTTTTACAGAGGACAAGGGTGTAAGACATTCAACTTTATTCAAAGGGAAGTAGAGGCATTGAGCTCAGATTGTCAGTATGAACGTTTTATACTCAGTTTTTAGCTTGGGGTTATGTTTTTAAGAACAGTTACTTTTCAAAGCTGGTTTGGTCCTTGTTTTCGCAATCAAGAATAACGTTTTCTGGAAGCATGTCAGCTGTCTTTAAACTGTTGTAATGCATTGTAAGCTTCAATATACCAGTTTGCTTTGGAGGAAAGATGGCTATGTTGCTCTTCCTACAATCATGTGAAAATAATTAAATTCACCATCATTGTACATTTTGATTGTATCCTTAATATGCACCTTAGACATTAGCCAATGTCTACATTGGGCATAATGATTACAATAGCTCTCTTGCAACATAGCAATCAACTGTCACAAGATGACTTGTAGCTTCAAAGGGTCCTTCTGATTGCAGCCTGATCACATGATCCTACTGCCTATAGAGACATCTCCTGAATATGCAGACATGTCAGTCAGTTGATCAAACATTCAGTCACTCAGTCCCCAGCATTTAGACAAGCAGTAAAACTTAACTGCTCTAAAGCAGAGGAACGTGAACTTAACAACCCATTTTGTTATTGTGACCTTTAGGCCATTTACCCCATCATGAAGGGTGTCATCCATTTTATGAGTACCTTGAAATGATTTGACATTGGGGGTGTCCTCAAGTAATTCATTTTACACACACATACTTTTACACGTTGTCATCTGGCAAAGCTTACGATCCTTAACTCTGACTGTCCTGGGATGATCACAGAATATACCAATCAAGAGAATACTATTGACATTTCCCCACCACAAACACACTATTTCCCCTTAATAACACGTCATAACAATGATAGACTGAAGCATGCTTTACCAGCTATGACAAAATACCATTATAAGTTATTACTAGTAGCAGGACAGAGGATGTCATTGCCTTCCCACTCAGTTGGCAGGTAGAACTGACCGTCTCCAAGTAGTACCGAGCCAGCTCCATGGGGGCCCTGCCCAGTGTAGAGAGGCTGCAGGCATAGGCCTGGTTCTCAGCACAAAGTTGTTTGACACGGCTCTGGAGGTGACGCAGTAGCTTGAAGGATGCTAGGTCTAAGGGCCCAGGAGAGTCAAGGGGTCCCGCATTTGAAGGGAGGGAGAGGAGGCTGATCGCTGAGCTCCAGAGTCACTGCATTCCTAACCGGAGATAGGAGAGAAGAACGGAGGGTGGGGGATTAGAGACAAAGTAGTCTGGGGACTGCACAGGCCACTCAAGTAAACTGAAATCGCTGTTGTTGTGGCAAATTTGTCCTTATACTGATCAAAGAACCAAAGTATTTCAGAGTTTTTGTTGAATTAAGATACTTTATTACATAAGCAATAGAGCCGAGGTGGTTTGGAAAGCATCTCCCTTCCACCTCTCAGTTTATATAGTAATTTTAGCTTTACCCCTCCCTCTTGGGTTCCACCACCACTGTCTCCAGTTTCCACCTCTTGACCGCTCCGCCCACTTCCTTAGTTTATGATAGTGGCGAAATCTGACTTCCTATGTATTCAGTTTGGAAACAATGGTGGTGTGACCAATCAAGCTTTGTCATGCACAAATAACAGCCCTGTCATGTAAAAATAATCATTTTCAGTTTGGAAACAATGGTGGTGTGACCAATCAAGCTTTGTCATGCACAAATAACAGCCCTGTCATGTAAAAATAATCATTTTCAGTTTGAACTTTGTTCAACCCTGGCTTGACCTGGAGATTGATTGTGGACATGGCAGGTCCACAATCAATCTCTCAAACATACCCAAGCCTAACCCCTCTGTCCCACCCTGTCACGCTGTAATTTAATCAGGAATACACTCAAGGAGAGACAAAGGGTTCAGCCTGGTTTCAGTCACTGATAAGATAAGACAACCGAAGACAGGTCAGATGACCAGAGAACAAACACATAAACCCAGCGAGAGAAACCAATTACATTCTTGCCTAGCAACAGAGATGTATCAATGTTTAACCCTGGCTGTTGTTTGTTGATTAACAATGTCTATCCAATAGTCCACTGAAAAATCCTCATCATATGGTTAAAAAGCCATTTCCTGGCTCTGTTTCAGGCCTCTTCTTGTCATGTTGTATGAAAATGTATGCACTCACTAACTGTAAGTCGCTCTGGATAAGAGCATCTGCTAAATGACTAAAATGTAAATGTTGTGATAAACTATTTAACCATACATTGTTAGCTTGTCATGATGTAATTGACTATGCTTACTATGCTTAACTGGAAAATCCCCATCACTGTCATGTTCATAGGAGTGGTCGTCTGCTGCAATAGCCCATCCATGAAAAGTTGTGCATTCCGAGATGCCGTTCTGCACACTACTGTTGTACTGTGCCGTTATTTGTCTGTTTGTGGCCCGCCTGTTAGCTTGCATGATTCTTGCGATTCTCCTTCGAACTCTCTCATCAACGAGCTATTTTCGCCCACAGGACTGCCGCTGACTGGATGTTTTTTGTTTGTCGCATCATTCTCGGTAAACCCTAGACACTGTCGTGCGTGAAAAGCCCAGGAAGGCGGCCGTTTCTGAGATTCTGGATCCGGCGCGAATGGCACCGATGATCATACCACGCTCAAAGTCGCTTAGGTAACTCGTTTTGCCCATTCTAATGTTCAGTTGAACAGTAACCGAATGCCTTAATGCCTGTCTGCCTGCTTTATATAGCAAGCCATGGCCAAGTGACTCACTGTCTGTAGGAGCGATCAATTTTCGTGAACAGGGTGGTGTACCTAATATATTGGCAGGTGAGTATATGTGATCGTATACAAATGTAAGCAAGGTTTGAAATGGTTATGTTTCAGTCAAATATTATATCTGTTTAGGCTACTTGCAGTTAATGCAGTCTACAAATTATTTGTAATTATGTACCGGCCCCATGAGCATCCATTCAAGAAAAGAATCGGCATAGGCCCACCAACTTGGGAACCAGGCCCAGCCAATCAGAACGAGTTTTTTTCCCACAAAAGGGCTTTATTACAGACAGAAATACTCCTCAGTTTCTCCGGGTGGCTGGTCTCAGACGATCCCGCAGGTGAATAAGCCGGATGTGGATGTCCTGGGCTGGCGTGGTTACACGTGGTCTGCGGTTGTGAGGCTGGTTGGACGTACTGCCAAATTCTCTAAAACTAAGTTAGAGGTGGCTTATGGTAGAGAAATTAACATTCAATTCAATGGCAACAGCTCTGGTGGACATTCCTGCAGTCAGCATGCCAATTGCATGCTCCCTCAAAACTTGAGACATCTGTGGCATTGTGTTGTGTGACAAAACTGCACATTTTAGAGTGGCCTTTTATTGTCCCCAGCACAAGGTGGTGCACCTGTGTAATGATCATGCTGTTTAATCAGCTTCTTGATATGCCACACCTGTCAGGTGGATGGATTATCTTGGCAATGGAGAAATGCTCACCAACAGGGATGTAAACAAATTTGTGCACAACATTTGAGAGAAATAAGCTTTATCTCTAGTGGACAGAGCCTGGATTCTCCCGAGTGGCGCAGTGGTCTAAGGCACTGCATCGCAGTGCTAGCTGTGCCACTAGAGATCCTGGTTCGAATCCAGGCTCTGTCGTAGCCGGCCGCGACCGGGAGACCCATGGGGCGGCGCACAATTGGCCCAGGGTAGGGGAGGGAATGGCCGGCAGGGATGTAGCTGAGTTGGTAGAGCATGGCGTTTGCAACGCTAGGGTTGTGGGTTTGATTCCCACAGGGGGCCAGTATGAAAAATAAAAAAATAATGTATGCACTCACTAACTAAGTCGCTCTGGATAAGAGCGTCTGCTAAATGACTAAAATGAAAATGAAATGAATGTGCATATGGAACATTTCGGGGATCTTTTATTTCAGCTCATGAAACATGGAACCAACACTTTACATGTTGCGTTTATATTTTTGTTCAGTATAGATGATGATCCTTGCCCTAGACTATATGGTGACCAGATGTCACATTTTTACCCAGGGCAGTACTTACATTTGTCCCGTATTTCAGACTTCCCAATCATTTGATGAGAATTGACATTGATTGCATTCCAAGCCGTCTATTTTTGGAGGGGTGTGGACATGAAGCTTGGGTTAAGTTTAGGGTTAGGGCTATTTCTAGGGTTAGGGTTAGGGTTATTGATTAATTTGTGTTTGGTAATTTCACTTGGATGAAATTATTATTTTGAATTGGGTGAAGTTATTATTTTGAGTACACTGATTGATTAATTGATAAAAATATATATCATAATTGTAATCCAACTCAAAATAATACATTTACCCAACTGAAAAATTATAATTCCATCCAAAAATAATACATTTCAATCCAACTCAAGGTTATGCATTTACCCAACTAAAAAATTATAATTCCATCCAACTCATGTTTATCTAACTTAAATTAATCAATCAGTTTACCCAACTCAAAATAATAATTTTATTCAACTCAAATTAATCAATCAGTTTACCCACCTCAAAATAATACTTTTGTCCAAATCAAAATGCCCGTTTTTTAAAACGTATCGTGTTAACCCTTACCCTAACCCTTACCCCCATCGGTTCTCTCTGAATATGTAACTCCAGCTCCTAAAGCACACAAATGTGATTCTTAATAGTGTGTGTAACGCAACAATGTAAGCATGTTTGAATGTGCTGTATCAGTGTGTGTTTGTGTGTATTTAAGTGAGTGTGTCTTCCTGAACACACCTTGTCCCGGCTCAGCTGCTGAGTGCTACGTCTCTGTGAGTCAAGCTCCTGCTGTAGTCGACTGATTGCCTGCTGCAACTGCTACAGGGTACCCTACAGGGTTTGGACTGCCTGAGCCACCGTAGGACTGCAGCACAGCACCAATATAGAGCTCAAAAACAAAATATTGGAATACACAGTACTATATACAAATTCCTATGCTGATCATGAAGAGTGTGCTTCTGTATGTGTATGAGAGAGAATATGAGAATATGAATGTGTGAAAGAGTACCTGTGTGGGAGCTGTGTTCCAGCAGGTGCTGTAGATGCTGACACTGTCCCCAGCTCCTGGGCCCAGTGTCTGTTCTACAGCTCCAGCCTGGCTGTGGCCTACATGTGGCTGTGCTCCCTCTCCCCCAGCAACACCTGCCGTCTACCAGCCTTCTCCTCTGCTTGCTGGACAACCTGCTCTAGCCTCAATGCCTCCCTCTGGCCCTCCTACAACCACAGCCCAGTCAGTCCACCATGTCAACCATACACTGGAAACTATACATTGTACATGATATGTTGTCATGTATGTAGTGATCTCTAGATGCTAGTTTAGGAGGTGGTTAGCCTGTCATCACCTGTTCCATGTGCCTGCGCAGTCTCTGTAGCTCAGCTTGGTGCTCCTCTCTCAAGGACCTACGCATTGCAACCAGAGCTAACACCTTTTCCCTCTGCTGCACATGGCACTCACTCTCCAGCTCCTGCACTCTCTGACATGGGAGGGAGAGAGGAATGACATACTGTATCTATTCTTCACCCATTTCCTTTAATTCATGGTAATTAAGTTCAATCTGATGGTTTGTTGGTGACCAGTGATCTTGGTTCTGCTTCCTGTCTGCAGTTCCAGTGCTTTGTTTTGAAGAGCCAGGGCATTCTTCTTTTCGCTCTGTCTCCCCCTCACTCTCTCCAGAGCATCACGGCCTTGCTCCTCCAGTATCCCACACTGCACCTGTAGAGCCTTTTCTTTCTCTATCTCCCATTTCTTCCTCTCCTGCTCTATGGTGCTGTGTATCTAAGGTAGAAAACAGATACTGTGTTATCACGTTTGTTTAAGTTTTACAATACATTTCATCTGACATAGAATAGGAGACAGAGGGCGGCAGAGTGGGAGGGAACAGTTATGCAAGGTGTGGTGTGATACTTTTAGAGGACAGGACAGCCTGAGATACTGACCTGGATGCAGCTCTGTGTGGACTCAATGTGCTGTGTGTGAGAGATGGCTTGTTCTCTGAACGCAACTGTTTTCTTTTCCTCAGCTTGCCTATGAGCCTGGACACACAGCAGCAAGAAAAACATCAGTGTTTGAATCTGATAGAACACACATAAAGGAAATACGGGGATATGATATATATATATAGATATATGCCATTTAGCAGACGCTTTTATCCAAAGCGACTTACAGTCATGCGTGCATACATTTTTTTGTGTATGGGTGGTCCCGGGGATCGAACCCACTACCTTGGCGTTACAAGCGCCGTGCTCTACCAGCTGAGCTACAGAGGACCACGGGATCTTTGCTAATGTTCAATAAACCCAGTTGCCAGAGCCTCTCACCTGCTGGATATGTTCCTCATGAGTTAAAGCCAACTCTTCCTTCAACTTCTTCAGCTCTCGCTGCTAAAGGAGACAAACAAAACCACCCCTTACATACTGCACACACACATTTAACTACATATGCTTTCACACTATCATGCACACAGTGAGTTGCCCACATTTATACACATAGTTAAACGGACTCATCCATAGACACTGTGTACTAGAGACTACCCAGCCCACCAACCATCTGTCTGAGTGCCTGCTCCTGGGTCCCTCTCATGGAGATGCTGTGCTGCTCCCTTAGGCTCTGGAACTCCCTCTGCAGCCCATCCCTCTCTGACTTCAAGGCACTCTTCTCCTCATGGAACCCCAGCAGCTGTAGCTCCTTCTGGGCTGCTGTCCTCTCCAGAGACCCCACCCTGCTCTCATTCTCCCACAGCTCTTTCTGCAGCTCCACTGCCTGAGAAACAGAGGATAGGAGAGAGAGAGAGAGGAGTGAGATCTTTAAACAAATATTGAGGTGTGGTGAAAGTATAGGTAGATGGTATCTCTTCCTGCTCCTGTTTCTGCCTGTGTTTTTCCTCCAGACCTTCAAACCTGTCCCACAGACCTCTCCCCTCTGTCACACACTGGAGCTCCTCACAAGCCTTGTCCAACTTCTGTTACATACACACATAAGCAAACAGATGGAGAGAAACAAATTCAAACACATTCAAAGCAGTGACTGTCACTGTAAAGCATGCTCTGAGCACCAGCCTAATACTGTTCAGCTTGAGTCTAGAGCGCCGCTGCTCAGCAAACAACTCTGTTTTGGCACTGCCCAGCTATCTGTCCAACTCCTCTCTCTCAAGGACATACATACTGACACTGGTCACTCTCTGAGACAGTGGGGGAGAAGGGAAGGGAGGGAGGGGAAGATTAAATATTGTAATAATCAAATCAGTAGTATAATAGAGCTGGGAAAAGAGCCAGGCGGGCTAAAAAAAAGCATGTTACCCTGGTCCCATCTGTTAAGGAAGTTCTGTGTTTACATAGCACAGCCAGATCCTCCTCCAGATCCCTGACCTCCTGCAGACAGCAGTGAACTACAACACACTCAATAAATCACTGTGAATTCAGCCTAAACATTATAGACAATATAGATATACAGAATACAGTAGGGGTAGAGTACAGTAGGGAAACAGTATAAGCTGTTCCTAAGATGATTGTTTGAACATACTGTATCCTTTATCTCTGATTCTAGGTTCTTAGAGATATACAGCAGTAGGGCAGTAACAGGGTTGAGTATGTGTGCACCTGATGCTGTCTGCCTCTGCCTTGCTGTCTCTCAGGCTGACCTCCAGACTCCTCCCCTCCATCTGCTCCGCCCCCGCACGCAGCTGCTCCAGCACGGCATGCCGGGACACAGCGCATCTCAGCATTAGCTGGGGTCAGGGATACACAAGACAAGGAACAGAGTCAAAACAACATGCGGGGTAAGGGACAGTTCAGTCTCACACAGCTGAGCTCTCCTCATCCTCCTCACAGTCCTACCACACAAAGATGAATACACACTGTGACGACCCTCCCACTCTGTCTGCCGAATTCTTTCTCTCTGCTCTTGTTTTCCTTAATAGGATGTCGGTGGGCGGAGCTGGGAGGGTCGTCAGCGAAATGGGATACACCTGGGCTCGGGTGTGTCCCGGGGAAACTCTCCACGCAGACACACTGTTGGTTTATGTTGGGGCATTTTGGGGCTTCTTTGTGTTCGTTTGTTTTGGCACCTCTCAACACCCCTCATTATCACCATCTATGCACCCATCCACTCACTTACACTACTGACTACACACACCATTGTTACTTTTATATAGTTTACTTTGTTTAATAAATATATTTTTGTTATTTCTTTATCTCCGCATTGTCTCCCTCTTTGTTACGGGCTACGAGCCGGTTCGTAACAACACATACTGACACAGAAGAACACACAAAACACAAACATCATGAGCAAGATTCATGGATGTCATTAAAAGTAAGATGTTCCATCTACAACATGCCCCACACACATAGATGAGCAGAGTGAAAATCTCACCTGTCTGAGGGTAGCCAGCTCCTCCTCCATCTTTAGCCAGTCTGACATCACCTGCCCCAGGCAACCCCCAGGCCTCTGCTGTGTGGAATCAAGGGTTTGAGAGAGAGAGAGAGAGCATCAGGAGGCATGTGATTGCACATCTCAGCTGGAGAATAATTACTCATAAGGAGTGAACAAGAGTTAACAAGCATTATCAATCAACAGGTGGATTTCCCCATAAGATTCAATGGACATGAACCCACACAGGAGTTATCTTTGGTTATTGTGTCATCTCTCACCGTACACACACGTCCCTCTGTGGCCTTGTTAGGCCTACATCTCTTCCTCCAGCGGACACACCCCTCATCTGAGTCCTCATCCTCCTCATCATCCTCATCCACAGAGAGCACATACCTGCTGACAGATCCGATACAGATATGAAACAAGAGGTGGCCAGTGGTCAGAGAATATAGCGGAGACACACAGTATGTCACTTAATTCTGTGGATTCAGTGAAGGCTACCTAGGAGTGTCTCTTCTCCTATGGCGTGCTTTACGGAGGGGTAGACTTCCACTGGTCACATGTCCATGGCTAGCTCTCAGTGCCTCACAAGCACATAACAAACAAATAAATAATTGTTACTTTCACATTGGGTTATAGTTAGTGGCATAATATTATTCTATAATCAGAGATGGTCACGCCTGGACCTGGAAATTTTTCCAAAATTTCAAAAAAAGATCACAATTTTTTTACTTTTCAAAATAAATATATATTTCTAACAATACAAAAATCCCCAACTAGAACATTTTCCTTCTCGATAGAACTGCCAAAGGGGGTGGGGTTGCAATCTACTGTAGAGATAACCTGCAGAGCTCTATCGTACTATCCAGGTCTGTGCCCAAACAGTTTGAGCTTCTACTTCTAAAAATCCACCTTTCCAGAAATAAGTCTCTCACTGTTGCCGCTTGCTACAGACCCCCCTCAGCCCCGAGCTGTGCCCTGGACACCATATGTGAACTGATTGCCCCCCATCTATCCTCAGCGTTCGTACTGCTTGGTGACCTAAACTGGGATATGCTTAACACCCCGGCCAACCTACAATCTAAACTAGATGCCCTCAATCTCACACAAATTATCAACGAACCTACCAGGTACAACCCTAAATCTGTAAACATGGGCACCCTCATAGATATCATCCTGACAAATTTACCCTCTAAATACACCTCCGCTGTCTTCAACCAGGATCTCAGCGATCACTGCCTTATTGCCTGCGTCCGTAATGGGTCCGCGGTCAAACGACCACCCCTCATCACTGTCAAACGCTCCCTAAAACACTTTAGCGAGCAGGCCTTTCTAATTGACCTGGCCTGGGTATCCTGGATGGATATTGACCTCATTCCGTCAGTAGAGGATGCCTGGTTGTTCTTTAAAAGTGCTTTCCTCTCAATCTTAAATAAGCATGCCCCCTTCAAAAAATTCAGAACTAAGAACAGATATAGCCCCTGGTTCTCCTCAGACTTGACTGCCCTTGACCAGCACAAAAACATCCTGTGGCGTCATGCATTAGCATCGAACAGCCCCCGCGATATGCAACTTTTTAGGGAAGTCAGGAACCAATATACACAATCAGTTAGGAAAGCAAAGGCTAGCTTTTTCAAACAGAAATGTGCATCCTGTAGCACTAACTCCAAAAAGTTTTGGGACACTGTAAAGTCCATGGAAAATAAGAGCAGCTCCTCCCGACTGCCCACTGCACTGAGGCTAGGAAACACTGTCACCACTGATAAATCTACAATAATCGAGAATTTCAACAAGCATTTTGCTACAGCTGGCCATGCTTTCCACCTGGCTACCACTACGCCGGCCACCAGCTCTGCACCCTCCGCTGCAACTTTCGAAAGTATTTGAAAGCCAAGTTAACAAACAGATCACCGACCATTTCGAATCCCACTGTACCTTCTCTGCTATGCAATCCGGTTTCCGAGCTGGTCATGGGTGCACCTCAGCCACGCTCAAGGTCCTAAACGATATTATAACCGCGATCGATAAAAGACAGTACTGCGCAGCAGTCTTCATCGACCTGGCCAAGGCTTTCGACTCTGTCAACCACCGCATTCTTATCGGCAGACTAAATAGCCTTGGTTTCTCTAATGACTGCCTCACCTGGTTCACCAACTACTTCTCAGATAGAGTTCAATGTGTCAAATCGGAGGGCCTGTTGTCTGGACCTCTGGCCGTCTCTATGGGGGTGCCACAGGGTTAAATTCTCGGGCCAACTCTATTCTCTGTGTATATCAATGATGTCGCTCTTGCTGCTGGTGACGCTCGGATCCACCTCTATGCGGACAACACCATTTTGTATACATCTGGCCCTTCATTGGACACTGTGTTAACAAACCTCCAAACGATCTTCAACGCCATACAACACTCCTTCCGTAGCCTCCAACTGCTCTTAAACACTACTAAAACTAAATGCATGCTCTTCAACCGAACGCTGCTTGCACCCGCCCACCCGACTAGAATCACTACTCTCGGCGGGTCTGACCTAGAGTATGTGGACAACTACAAATACCTAGATGTCTGGTTAGACTGTAAACTCTCCTTCCAGACTCACATTAAGTATCTCCAATCAAAAGTTAGATCTAGAATCAGCTTCCTATTTCGCAACAAAGCCTCCTTCACTCATGCTGCCAAACATGCCCTCGTAAAACGGACTATCCTACCGATCCTTGACTTCGGCGATGTCATTTACAAAATAGCCTCCAACACTCTACTCAGCAAATTGGATGTAGTCTATCACAGTGCCATCTGTTTTGTCACCAAAGCCCCATATCCTACCAACCATTGTGACCTGTACGCTCTTGTTGGCTGGCCCTCACTACATATTCGTCGCCAAACCCACTGGCTCCAGGTCATCTATAAATCAATGCTAGGCAAATCCCTGTCTTATCTTAGCTCACTGGTCACCATAGCAACACCCACCCGTAGTATGCGTTCCAGCAGGTAGATCTCACTGGTCATCCCCAAAGCCAACACCTCCTTTGGCCGCCATTCCTTCCAGTTCTCTGCTGCCAATGACTGGAACGAACTGCAAAAATCTCTGAAGCTGGAGACTCTTATCTCCCTCACTAACTTTAAGCGTCAGTTGTCAGAGAAGCTTACCGATCACTGCACCTGTACACAGCCATTCTGAAATTAGCCCACCCAACTACCTCATCCCCATATTGTTATTTATTTTGCTAATTTTGCACCCCAGTATCTCTATTTGCACATCTATCATTCCAGTGTTAATACGAAATTGTAACTATTTTGCACTATGGCCTATTTATTGCCTTACCTCCATAACTTACTACATTCGCACACACTGTATATATATTTTCTGTTGTATTTTTGACTTTATGTTTTGTTTACCCCATATGTAACTCTGTGTTGTTGTTTATATCGCACTGCTTTGCTTTATCTTGGTCAGGTTGCAGTTGTAAATGAGAACTTGTTCTCAACTGGCTTACCTGGTTAAATAAAGGTGAAAAAAATGAAAAAATGAAAAATAAAGACTTACATGGTGTATACTTGAGATCCCTTGGCTCCTGTGTGGGTGTGTCATAGTCACTCCGGTCAGTGTAGAGACCATGTTCATGTGCCTGACAGACTTAATGGCTGAATGGCATCTTATGGTGACGTAAAACAGATGTTTATTATGTTAACTTTTAAATGTTCCTTCTAAATGTTGGTTGAAGCCCCTAGCTCCTGCCTCTCACCTGGCCTGCTGTGGATGTGTTGCTGGGCCTTCTCTGTGCGGACAGAGTCCAGGTCTGTCAATGGTCACAGTGTCAAAACTCCAGGCACTCCTGGAGGAGACAGGAAGAGGCTGCAGTTACTGTTAGTGATGAATTCATTATTTAGCTTAAAGAATATCCTGGGTGTCTGGTAAATGACTAAATGTAAATATAACTGTAACCATGTAAATTCATAGGGTAGATTGTATGAGCTAAAAGAGTAGAGTACCTGCAAGGTATCTGGTGGTGGTTCTAGAAGTGTGGCTCCTGTTCTCCTTGGTTCCCTCAGGATCAATACTGGAACAGGCCTCCGTGAGAACCCCTGTACCAACATTGCTGTTACTGGGAGGACCAGGGACTGACACTGGAACCAGTAGGAAAAGGCAGAAGCATCAGTGTCATAATGGAGGAACAAAATAAGTATAACAGTAACTTCTATGACTACTGTCCCCTTTCCCCTCAGATGACTACCCCCAACTCTGACACTAGACCCACTGCAGGAGGATCTCAGCCCTCTCACCTGTGGTAGGCTGGTATAACACAAAGGACTGTGAGCATGATTATACTGACAGCTGTGCATCACCCCCTGGTGGAGTCACTAGAGAGTTATGACAGTATTCATTCCTGCTAAGACCACTAAACCTCTATGGTGCACTTTTGTTGCTCTCACTTGCCCCTAGGTTTTCACTCCAGCTAGTTCTCCTCACTCCATGCCTGTGATGAGGTTGGCTCCTCTTCCTCCCGATCGGCGGGTTACACCCGGCCTCCTGAGCTCTTCTCTGAGGGGAGAGCAGAGGGGAGAGGAGAGGTGAGAGACATCCAGACTAAACCAAGGTCCAGGTCAGAGGACGGGAGATGCTTGGCCAGGTGGGTAGGGTCAGGAGGGTAAAGGAGTCTCTGTAAATGACAGTGAGTTCTAATATCCAGTGGTCCTTTTTCTGAGGGTTATCTCCTTAATGGTAACACTGTGGTATTGGTTGCTCAGTTCTGGCACATTATTCTTGAACAATCCATAATCCTCACACTCTAAAAGGGATCACGTTATAATGTATGTAAGGATTAAGACAAGTTGGTTCCCAGACCGGTGTCCCTGCTCAAAGTGGCTCAGGCTGAGAGGTGCTATAATAAAAAGAGCAATGAAGATATTACAATAATAGTGAGTTTATACTAGACAAAAAGTATCACTCAAGATGTGCCGTATTAAAATACAAATCAAATGCATTTTATAAAACATTTTTTACATCAGCAGTTGTCACAAAGTGCTTTACAGATACCCAGCCTAAAACCCCAAAGAGCAAGCAATGCAGATGTTAAAGCACAGTGGCTAGGAGAAGCTCCCTAGAAAGGCAGGAATTTAGGAAGAAACCTAGAACCAGGCTCTGGGGGGTGGCCAGTCCTCATCTGGCTGTGCCGGGTGGAAATTATAACAGTACATGGCCATTAAGGCCAGATCGTTCTAAAGACAACATACCTGTATTGATGCAATCATGTTTTCTGGAGATACCCTCAATCCCATTGCTATGGCTCTGCACCTGTGAACATTTAGCTACTGAAGTGAGTTCATAACAGTACGACTTTGTAGATACACAGAACAAAAAGAGGATGAACCCTGAGGATGGATGCAGCACACTGACCTGCAGGCGGCTCAGCTGGGCAAGCTATGGCATCTAGGAGGAGGTCACAGTGATCCTGTGGCATGGGTGAGCAGAGGGTACATAGGGAACAGGAGGAGAAAAAGTCCAGAGAGAAGAGAATGAATAGGAAGAAAGATTCACTGTCTCAAGTATCTATAGTCTTAGATAGGACATTATCTGACCAGTGTAAAGAAGCTCATTCTGCAGCATCTCCTTCTGCCCCTTCATGACCGCCATCGGCCATTTCCTGTGAAACACACATTTCACACACTCATAAATACAGACTCAACCTGGTGGTGAGTGGGGGTTGTTGTTGATCATAGGTTGCCCTAGAAACAAAGACCCATTGCCTAGGGGCCTTCAGGCTGCTGAGCTTCCTTTCACAAAGAAGCCAATTAATTCTGGTGCCACTATGGCCAGCTCACATGCAAACCTACACTTTGTAGTTTACAGTGATTGTGGAATTCCTTCCACTGAAGACTGAGTAGGAAAGCTGTCCATTAGGCTTACAGTTTGGAAGCACCATTACAAATTCCCAATGTTTTCAGAAGAATGTTGGAAAAACATCTGATTATCCAGCTCTGAGTAGATATGATGCTGCTTCCATTCAAATTCACGCACTCTCATGAAAACTCAATGCATAGGTGCATTTGATTGAACATTGCGCATAATGCGCAAATAAGACTATAATTTGACTTACACAATATTCGATAGCTTTATATTTCACATTTACACTACATATCGTCAAAACAGAAGCAGCATATTTGGTTTCCTCTCATTGTTTTAATTTAACCATCAATTCACACCTGCAGTCCCAAACACGAATGAAACAAGACTTACTTTCTGGATGGTATGAAACAAAGTTGGTAGACTGCTGCAATGGCAGATTGATTGACAGGAGCATTGGTTGAGTTTCCAAGCAACCTTCAAACAGCGCTCCCCAGCCCGGGCCAAAGCCACGCCGTTCAAACTGAGCGACCAGGGGAGGCGCACATCACAGAATGCTTCCCCCACTAGCTACTAGTGATAACAGCGGAAGTTGAAGCGCCACTGCTCCGCAATCATAACTCATTTTTTTTCCAGCTGCATGATTATTATGGCTAAGTTGATGTAATAATGTATTCTTGGCATGTCTCTAATGTAAGACTGTTGATTGTGTGTTGCAACCCTCACCTTCAATTTCAACAAACATTTTCTCAGTAGTGTTTACCTTTGCAGAAGACTCCTAATCCCCACATCTTAAGTTCAAAATAAGTAAAAGGCTACACACAGCTCAAATTGAACAGACACACATCCAGTTTCAAAAGAAACAACTTTATTATCTCATTTTTGTCATTGTGTCTTTCTTTTGAAGACAATGTTACATGTGTATAAATGAATGGAGAAGAAACCCAATTAAAAAAGAATACCAACCCCAGCTGGAAACACTGGAGTTACACCTGAACACAGGTGCATATTTGTCAGATAGTGTGGAATATGTGTGTGAGCGTGGGGTTGAAGTGAGTATGGTAAAGGCAGGACCTCTGCTCACGTCTGTCCTTCTGGATCTGGATCACACAGCCTCTCAGTGTATTAGAACAAGACCAAACAGCAGAGTCCACAGAGCAGCAGGGTTTAATTCAGACGAGGTATGATGAGGTATCTCCCGGTCTTCATTACAATACTCCTGCCTCACAGCAGCACACAACAAAATACATCTTAGATACACACACACACGCATCTCACTGCGCATACATACAAATACAGTGTGTAAATGAAAGAAAATGGCACCCATGATGAGAAAAAAAATACAATAAAAACAAAGCATAGATATTAACGCTAAATCAAAACATTATGGTGTCTTTCAGTAGGAAAGCAGGCAAATAGTATTTTAGGCTACAGTCCCATCTGCACTGACACTTCGGTTGTTCAGTTTTTCCTTTCTGCACAGAGCAGAGATGACCATCTTCTTTACCCCAACAAGTGCAATGAATGAATACGTCATCTAAACGTCACTGCTACTAATCAGTCTCTTACACGCGCTGGTTATCAACCCACACCCACCCATCTTTGAGATCACGTCATTTGCATATTCAAAATAAATTGATTAAAATGTATGATGTGTTTATATTATCATTCAAAATATAATATATGTGCATTCATATATAAAAATCATTGTTTCAAACCTAATATATTAAACTCAATCTATATGGAGTTGATAATTGAGAAAAATGTCATCCTTGACCTGCACATCCTATACTTTCTTCCCGCATTTCAATATTGTTTCTCACCCAGTAGTACTGTACATGATGGTATAGTATTATCTATATAATGACACATTTATAATACAACAAAACTAAAAACCCTTACTGAGTCCAGTTTAGTTCATTCCAATGTGGGGAACCATGTCATCCTATTTTACATCTTGGTTTGTTCCACTAATAACAATGTGAGCAGTACTTATACATGTGCTTGTCTGCATGTGTGTGTATGTGTGTTATAGTTATGTGACTAATGTATGAGTGCCTGTGTGTCTGCTGAAAGGTAATAGGTACAAAGTGGATAGACTGGAACCAAACATAAATAGTGCAGAAAATGAAGGCTGTTGTTCAGGGGGTTAAAGAGAATAAGTGCCTGGCCAGAATGTGCTTGTAACAACTACTAGTCACTAATTCTCTACCCCTTTTAGGCTTTATATTATAGGCTTCAGGTGGAGGAGGGTAGTTGAACTGAAAAACAGTTGGGAGCATGAAAAAAAGTATAAAAAAAGTATGCACACACTACTGTAAGTCGCTCTGGATAAGAACGTCTGTTAAATGACGTAAATGTAAATGTGATTGGGGTAGAATTATCATCTCAGTTGAAACGTTCACATTTTACATTCAGCACTTGCTAGATAGTTTCTAAACTGAACAAAAATATAAAATGCAACATGTAACAATTTCAACGATTTTACTGAGTTACAGTTCATATAAGTAAATCAGTCAATTGAAATTAATTAATTAGGCCCTAATCTATGGATTTCACATGACTAGGCAGTGGCACAGCCATTTGGGAGCCAGGCCCAGCCAATCAGAATGAGTTTTTCCCCGAAAAAGGGCTTTATTACAGTCAGAAATACTCCTCAGTTTCATCAGCTGGGTGGCTGGTCTCAGACGATCCCGCAGGTGAAGAAGCCGGATGTGGAGGTCCTGGGCTGCAGTGCTCTGCGGTTGTGAGGCCGGTTGGACGTACTGCCAAATTCACTAAAACAAGGCTTACGGTAGAGAAGTTAATATTAAATTCTCTGGCAACAGTTCTGGTGGACATTCCTGCAGTCAGCATGCCAATCTGTGGCATCGTGCTGAGTGACAAAACTGCACATTTTAGAGTGGCCTTTTATTGTCCCCAGCACAAGGTGTAATGATCATGCTGTTTAATTAGCTTCTTGATATGCCACACCTGTCAGGTGGATGGATTATCTTGGCAAAGCAGAAATGCTTACTAACAGGGATGTGCACAAATTTGAGAGAAATAAGCTTTTTGTGCATATGGAACATTTCTGGGCTCCTTTATTTCAGCTCATGAAACATTGGACCAACACTTTACATGTTGAATTTACATTTTTGTTCAGTATAGTTTGCATGCTATGTTTATCCCTCCCATCAACCCCTCTAGCCCTCCAGCCCAATATGTTGGGTTGAGGATGGTATTCTGTTTGTCTTCCACTGTCCTCCAGAGCACATGCCAGATCCCTGTAACAACTGCCCTCAGACACCTTAAGGGCCACATCAGAATTTGATTGTTTGTTTGTGAACTGAAAATCTAAACCAAGTAAACAATGCCAGTATCAAGAACTTTGTATAAAAATGATGTTCAGTGTGTAAGTCTCTTTTAATATAAAACATTACATCTGCAACCAAACCATGGGCGCTAGTCAGAATCAACTTCTAACTGGCTGGATCA